ACTACACACAAGGACAGTAGAGGAAGAGACATATTTCATGCTCACCAGTAACACAGGTCATTGTTCTTAAGGAGCTGGTCCACCATGTGCTCCACTCGCACAAACCAGCTGGGCACTGACTTGTAAATAAGGGGAGTGTCTGACCTGGGGAAGCAAAATGCAGATGGCACTGGTCAGAAGGAGACATACCCAGGGCAAGGCTGACTTTTAGTTTCTCATCAACATCAGTGCCACCTACTCAGCCTTCTGCTGACATTCATTTGTATTTTAATGCAAATGTCTGGGCTGGAGAAATGGCTCAAGGGGTAAAGGCACTTGCTGCCAAGTCTGATGACCTGTTTGATCCCTGGAGCCACCATGGTAGCAGGAGAGAACCGACTCACACTAATAGTTCTCTGACCTCCACAGGAGCACCACGGCATGTATGTGGACACACGCACACTGCTCCCACCACCCTCCCCCAAAAAAGAAACAAAGGTTAAAAAAAATTGGTGTGTGTGTGTGGGGGGGTGCTGGCACTGGAGAGAGAGTGCGGTGGTTAAAAACACTTGCTGCTCTTCTGGAGGATTCAAGTTTAGTCCTCAACAACTATGTCAGGAGGCTTACAATCACCCAACTCTAGTTCCAGGGAATCTGATGTTCCCTTCTGGTCTAAACACACATGGCATACATTCAGACAGATACACAAAAATAAATGTTTTTTTTTATTTTTTTGAGACAGGGTCTCCCCTGTGGCCCCAGCTGACCTGGATTCGCTATGGAGACCAGGCTGGTCTCAAACTCACAAGAGATCCGCCTGCTTCTGCCTCCCGAGTGCTGGGATTAAAGGTGTGTATCATCATGCCCAGCAGATAAATATTTTTTAAAAAATTTAAATAAACATAAATGTCTAAGTCTCATATCTCTTCATGAAACCAATAAACTGAATAAAAGAACTAGACTAGAAAGAAAACAGTTCTGATGACAGTTCTCTGAGGTTATGATGTGAACATGGGCACAGGGAGGAAATGTGGGGATGAATTTCGGGACACCAAACAGCACATTTACACCTGAATATTTACAGGATATTCTTACATTTAAACTTGGTACTTAAAAAAAATACTATCATAAAATTTCAGAGATGTTTGTCATTTTAAAAAATGTATGACGACAGGGCTGGAGAGATGGTTCACTGTTAAAGAGCACTGGCTGCTCTTGCAGAGGACCCACATTTGGTTACCAGCACCAACATGGCAGCTAACAACCATGCCTAACTCTAGTTTCAGAGAACCTGACATCCTCTTCTGGCCTCCACAGGTATTGCACACATTGGTGCACTTGCATCCAGGCAAAACACTCATGCATACAAAAAAGGTAAAATTTTAAATTAAAAAATTAAATATATATGTAACCACAATAGAAAACAGATTTTTACACATCCATTTTTTTTTTTTTAAATCTCACACAGCTCCCGAGGAAAGCGACAACTTGATACAACTCTTCTGAAACTAAGAGGACGGTTACTATACACATGAGCCAGACCCCTAAATATGAAGACGTGAGTGCATGCTAGCCAGTACACCCAGAAATGTCTCCTCTCACCTCCAGCAGAAAGGGTAACTGTGAGTGAAGGTGGAGGCCATAAGAAGTCTCCCCTGTTCCTTCAATGTTCTGATGATATTTTTATCAGCATCCTGTCAAAAAATTTTAACGTTAGTCATTAAAATACCTTAACACACTTAGTAACAATACAATTATTAAAATTCTGATATTTCATTATGAATGAAAGATACAAATAACAACTGTGTCATTAAAAAAGAAAAAAAATCTTTGTGGGGGGGCTGGGGATGTAGGTCAGTGGTAAGGGGCTTACTTAGCATGCATGAGCCCCTTGGCTTTTCCTTAGAACCATAATAAAAACCCAAAACCAGAAAACTCTTCTGCTCATTTTTAGCCACTTAAATCATTTAAGGCAGTAAAGCTTTTGATCAGACATGACGACCTGAGCATGACAAGGCTGCTCCATGACAAACAAGAGCAGGTTTCCTGATTCTTACAGATGAAATTATAGCACACTTCCTTCTCTAAACATAGCAGACCCTCTGAATGTGGCTCATAGTATCTATCTTTGCTAATCTTAAGTGCCTAAACAAAAAATTTTAAAACTTCCATATTAACCCTAACACAAGTGTAGATAATGAAGATGAATTAGTTGTATCAATTTCCTTACTGGGAAAAAACAGAAATAAGCATGATGAGACTTCTACTTCACAGGACTACAGACCTTCACATACTGCCCAACAAAATGTGTCACTTCTTCTGTGAAGCAGCCTGAAGCATCCACGGGGCAAATAGGGGTTGAATCTTTCTGAATAATATTGAAGTCCATACAGACTCGAAAGTCATCCTGAGAAAAGGCAAAGACAGGAGGAGTTGGGTGAGAAAAAGGGAGTCTGTGTGCGTGTGGTGGTGGGGAGCACAAGGTGACAGAAAGTCTAAGAGATGCTTCCAATAGTGCCTTGTACATACCTAATCCACCTTCTACTTCTAACTGGATATGACGTAAGGCCTGTTTATGGGATCTAAGCCTCACAGATGGACAGGAATTAGACTGTCTAGCCCAGTCATCTCAGTCATTAGAGAACACAGATTTTAAAACGGAATCAGATTTTAAATAAGATACACGCACATCTAGAAAACAAAAGTCCATCTAGGTAGAGAGCACTATGTGTTTTTAAAAATATTTTATTTATTATTATTTTATGTGTATGAGTGTATTGCCTGCATGTATGTGAGTCCACGCATGTCGAGAAGTACTATGCATTTAATACCATTGTTTGATGTACATACAGCTTTAAGTCCTGTCAATGGATGCTCCAAAGGGTGACTATTCCCTATTACACAAGTAAACTGGGCCTCAGATATCATAGATTTGCTAGGTCACACCACAAGGCTTCAGAAGTGGCTCTGAAGAGCATTACTAAGTAGCACTCCATGTGAGGGATGCCGAGTCACTTTACCACATTAGCTCATTTAACCCTAACAATGACACTACCAGGAAGGCAGACAGGTGAACTAGGATCTGAAGAGTTTACAATAGCTCAGGAAGAGTGTGAATGCAGATGCAAGTTTCCTGTGCCATCTTTAGGGTCAAAGAGCCAGTAAAGGCCTGACTCCATGGTCTCGGCTAGAGTGAGGAGCTTGATGAGACTCAGCAGGAGTCCCAGGAAAAGTGGCCACAGACAGTGACTTCTCATAAATACATCTGCTTGATGCTACTCACAGCACCGAAGTAAGGGGCCTGGTGTACAACTCCGGTGCCTTCTTCGTCCTTCACATAGTGGTCAACAAGCACAGTGAAAGCACCATTCTCTTTACACTGGAAAAGAAAGACCAGAAAGTGTCAGAAAAAAGACTACTCAATCAACAAGGAGAAAGACCTGGAAAAAAACAGTTTAACATGTAAAGCTTTCTTAGGAAATAGAAAAGACAGAAAACTCAAATTAGGAAGAAAATGCTGATTCAATAAATCCCTTCCACTAGGCATTGGCACAGGCCTTGCACCCCAGCAGAGACAGGTGGTGAGAATGAGGGTAGCCTGGTCAAAAAGCAGGGTCCAGGCCAGCTGGGGCTGCAAGGGAGACCCTGTCTCAAAACCAACCTCCTCAGTACATACATAGATACATATACAAATATATGTACATATAAAAAATATTTTTGGATAATGGCTCACTGGTTCTCTCTCTCTCTCTCTCTCTCTCTCTCTCTCTCTCTCTCTCTCTCTCTCACACACACACACACACACACACACACACACACACACACACACTATCATCTGAAGATCTGTGGATGAAAACATCTAATTTAGGAATTGGGGAGATGGTATAGTAGATAAAGCAATTACTGCATAACTGAGGACCAGAGTTAGGATCCCCTACATCCACATAAAAGACATGAGGCCATGGCAGTGCTCCTATAATCCCAGGGCTTGAGAAGCAGAAACAGGAGATTTCTGGGGCAAACTAGCTAGCTAGATTAGTCAAATTGGGAAGGTTCAGGTTCATCGAGAGACCCTGCCTCAGCCAATAAGATGGAAAATAATCAAGGAAGATACCTGACATCAACCTCTGGCCTCCACAGGTAGGTGCACCTGCTCGCAAATGCGCCCACTTATTTATAAGATAGATATAAGCGTGCAAAAGAAATCTCCATTTTGGTTATATAACTGGTTTTTTTCTTTAATATTTTATTTATTATTATTTATTTTTATGTGTACAAGTCTTTTTGAGACAGGCTCTCCCTGCAGCCCCAGCTGTCCTGGAACTCACTATGTAGACCAGGCTGGCCTTGAACTCACAGAGATACGCCTGCCTCAGAAGAGGGCTTTGGATTCCCCTGGAACTGGAGTTAAGGACGGTTCATAGCCGTCATGTGGGTGCTGGGAATCGAACCTGGGTCCTCTGCAAGAGCAGTCAGTGCTCTAAACCACTGAGCCATCTCTCCAGCCCCATAACTGGTTTTTTTCATTAGTCAGCCCTTACCCCATGGTGAGATTAGCATACAGTCTCAGAAAACACATTCCCTTCTTAGCATGTGTGAGGCTTCTGGTTAAATTTACAGCAAGCGCACAGCATGCCCACATGCATTCATATATACACAAAACCAAAGCATGTTCCCCAAATTCTTTAATTCCTGGCTTCCTGATATATTCAGCCCACTCATATCTTTTAAAGACAGGTCTCCCTGGGGCTGGAGAGATGGCACAGTGGTTGGGAGCACTCACTGTTCTTGCAGAAGACCCAGATTCAAACCCACATGGCAGCTAACAACTGTCATCTGTAAATAAATAAAATATTAAAAAAAAAAAGACAGGTTTCCCTCTGATCTGGAACTCACTATGTAGACCAGGCTGGCCTTGATCTCACAGAGATCTGCTTGCCTCTGCCTCTGCCTTGGGATTAAAGGTGTGCACCAGCACGACTGGCAGCTCATATATTTTGTATTTCCTTTTCCTTTCAACTGGGTTCAAGTTATTCAGTCATAAAAGGTAAATCTCAAAAGGACGAAGTTTGAGTTCTATATGAATTCACGCATTGTAAGACTTGAGTGTTTATTTCCTCTACAAAAACAATTCTGTTAAAAGTACTTTCACAAATAACACTGACATTCAGGTCCTAAAATCCTCCTTGTATTTCCATGACATACAAGACAGAATGCAAGTGAGCAGACTTTTGGAGGCAAGGAGCCAACAGAATGCTTCTTTTAGACAATATTTGAATTCAGATTTTGTGATGGTTTTAATGAGAATGTCCCCCATTGATTCCAATTGGTTCCTGGGACATTTTGTCCCAGGTTGCGAGGTCTTAAGAGAGTTCTTAAGCTTTGTGGGATCTTGAGCTGCTTTCTCTTGCTTCCTGTGCCCGTTTGAAGGTGAGACACCTTAGCTTCTGTTCCTCCAGCCAGCTCTGCTGCCATGCCTCCCTGCCATGATAGCCTCTTGTCCCCTTGGAACCACAAACTCAAATAAACTCTTCCTTTTCTAAGTTCCCTTGGTCATGGTGTTTCTATCACAGCAACAGAAGAGTAACTAATACAGAAATTGGTTCCAGACAGTGGGGCATTGCTATAACAGACCTGACCTTGGTGTTTTGGGGAGAATTGTGGAAGCATTTGAAACTTTGGTCTGGAAAAGACATGCTTTTCGCTTGCTGTGGAGCTTGGAACAGTTATGCTGAAAGAGTTGTAGACAACGGAGGCCTGGCTTGTGAAGCTTCAAAGGGAAGGAGAGACTATCAGGGCTGTTTGTGGAACGTTCTGAATTGAGAATCTGTGTTTTCTGGTCGGCTAGTGCTGAAGAATCAGCTGTGATAAGAAGAACCAGAACCACTGAAGTGAAACCTTTGCTTCACTGGGACAATTGATGCTGGTTAGCTGGGGCTGAAAAATCAGCTGTAAGTAACAAGAGACCAGCATCAGTGTGGTGAAATCTTCTGGGAAGTATTTCCTCAGGGTCAGTAGAGAAGCTATGGTCCAGAGGGAGCCTGAGCTTCCATCTCAAGCTGGAAGCAGGACTTGGTAATGCGTAAGAGTCTCCTGGCATTGAAAGCATTAGGGGTCACAGAGATCAGCTGAGGCTTGGCACCCTCAGAGGCCAGGAAAGGTCACTGGTGAAAGTGCAGCCTCCATTGCAGTGAAGACCCCAGGATTGAAGGGGTCATGGAGAGTATCTGAGGCTTTGCCTCCTGAGAGGCCAGAAGAGCCTATTGGTGAAGATGCAATAGAGATCCCAGCTTTTTGGAGATGCCAACACCATGGGATGACCACCAAGGGAGGCAGCAGGTATGGAATGGAGCCGGCCTGGGTCTTCGAGACAAGCTGTATATAGCACAGATGGCAGAGTCAGAGTGGAGCTGCCAAAACCCTTTGAAGCCCAGTAGATCATGAATGAATCCCAGATGTCTGGCCTTGAGCTACTTTGCAGAACTTAGGTTTTGCTTAGATGTGCCCGATTCTTCCCTTTTGAAATAAGACAGTGCTTGTTTGGGATTTTACAGCAGCCCACAGTTAAAGAGACTTAAAAAATCCAAACAATCTCCTTTTAAAAGTACTGTGGGATTTTTAAGGTCTTATGTTGTGATACTGTTAACATCGTATCTTGGGGACAGAAGAAATGGAAAGGTTGTGGTTTAATAGTGATGTGTTTGTGTGTCACCTTGACAAGGGCTTAATTGTGCTGGACAGCTTTAGTTGTCAACTTGATACACCTGGGTAGAGGGAGCCTCAAATGGTGAATTGCCCCCATTGGACTGGCCTATGGCCATGTCTGTGGGGCATCTTCTTGATTACTGATTACCACTGTAATCAGTACCACTGTAGGTGGTACCACCCATCGGCGGTGGGCCTGTGTTATATAAGAAAGCAGGTAGAGCAGGGGCCAGGGGATTAAGCCAGTAAACAGCGCTCCTCCATGGCCTGTGCTTCAGCTCCTGCCTCCAGGTTCCTGCCCTGAGTTCCTACTTTGGGCTCCCTCAGTGATGAACTGTGACCTAGGAGATGTAAGCTGACTATTTCCTCTCCAAGTTGGTATTGTCAGAGAGTTTTGTCATAGCAATGGAGAAGCAAATTAGAACAGACTTCAAGGGTAACAACTCAGCAGAGCGAATGACTGAAAGGAAGAGGATATGTAAGTAAGTGCACCTTGTGCACACAATGCCTGCTGAGGCCATAAAAGGGTATCAGATCCCTTGGAACTAGAGTTACAGATGGTTGCTAGCTGCCATGTGGGTGCTGGGAACCAAATCTGGGTTCTCTACAATAGCAGCCAGTGCTCAGCCTCTGAGCCATCTCTCCAACTGTGCAAAGGATATTTAATAGCAGGTTACTACAAAGGCAGAGAGATGAGAAAGCAAAGGGCCTGTGTGGGGATGTGACTAGGAAGCTGGTCAGTGGCATCAAGTAGGGAAGAAGGGAAGTGCTCCTCCAGGCAAATGGCTGAAGGTTTCTGAGGTGGAACAGGAAGAGGGCAGAGTACATAGAAATGCGATGCTGAAACACTGGAGGAAGAAGGCCCTTACAGGAGTCAAACTATGGAGAAAACTTCAGGGTGAAAATAAAAATGAAGCTAGATAAACAGATACACCATGGACAGGAGAAGTGACAAAGGTCGCCGCCAGCATCAACTGATCCCTCTCAACAGTGACTAGGGATGGTAGAGAGTCAGCAGATGCTTTATCCTGACTTGTGATATAAATGGTGCCTAGCGGATTACAAATGCGTGGTGAAAAGGCAAGCCTGAGGTTGCTCGTCACCTTATTACAAGGCCTTTAGATAAGAACCAAGGAGGAACTTCTGCTTGACCTTGTTTCCCAGATGGTAGTGGGGGACTGGAGGGGGGAACACACAACTATAGATTTTGATTGTCCATTGTCAGAAAATGAAAGTCACATAAAACAGCTTTACACCTTTTAAGAAAAGGCACTAAATGTATGACTTGTTTTGGTACTCAGAATTAAAACACCCACCTCAACACCTTCCTTGAAGTATATGTAATTTTATTATTTATTTATTTTATTCTTTCGGTCTTTTTTTTTTGGTCTTTTTGAGACAGGGTCTTCCTGTAAGCCCCAGCTGTCCTCAAACTCACAAAGATCTGCCTGCCTCTGCCTCCCAAGTGCTGGGATTAAAGGTGTGCACCACCACGCCCAGCCTGTTTTACTTTTTAAGTCTTCCTGAAACATTACCTTGCTATTCAGTCTAGGTTAGCAGGGAATTCAGTATTTGGCCTTAGGACTGGCCTTGAACAAGGAATCTACCTGTCTCAGACTTTCACAAGTTAGGATCTAAGCATGGGTTACCATGCCCAGCTTTGCATTTATTTTTCCATATACTTTATTCTGAGCACTATGTGAAATCTGTAAGACAATCTCAAAAATTCACCTGAGTAGACTATATAAAGAATTGCAATGGCCCTAAATGGAGTCCCCTAAATTCTAATAGCTAAAGTAACTTCATTTTGTATAAAGCAGCCACTTTAAACTGCAAAAACTAGAAAAACAGCCAGTTTCAAAACCTTTCGTTAAGCACCTGAACTTAGCTGCTTCCCCTTAGAAGAGTGCTTTCTTTGGAGTAGCTGACCTTGGTCACCTCCCAGACATCGCAGCTGCACTTAATCAGAAAGTGCCTTACTGTCAAGGTTTCTATATATTTGTTAAGGGAATGACTGAACAAGCTTGTTCTGGCTTCTGTAGTTTGCTTATCTGCTGACTTGGGCATCCTGACCATACTCAGGACCACCTGGTATTACTCATGGGTGATGAAATTCCTACAGTATTTGTGGTTTTTGCCTTTATAAGCTCATTTTGCCCTCCCCTCAGGACCGTGGGTCCTAAATTGTTGACTAAGGGACCATGGACGACTATAGCCCTAATAAATTTGACCAATTATAATTTGAATTGAATTGAGGAGGTGGAGAGATGACTCAGCAGTTAAGAACACTGGCTGTTCTTGCAGAAGAACCGGGTCCAAATCTCAGCACCCACATGGCAGCTAACAACTGTCTGTAACTCCAGTTCCAAGGGATCCAACAACCTCTTCTGGCCTCCTCCAGCATTGCACGACATGGGTGCACTTAACCTACATTCAGGCAGTACATGCATATACATAAAATAAAAATAATAAATAAATAAAATATAAAATTTGAATTGAGTCTGGTGGTCTTTTTCCCAGTCGTTTCAAATTCTGTAACAGGATAAAAGGCTTACATGTAAACCCAATCAAATGTAATAGGATTCCCTTATAATATAAGAAATTTAAGTATCTTATACAATTTTAACTCATTTAAAGATAAGGCAGAATTTAATTTTGTTAAAACTAAGGTAGTGTAGAATCAGACACAGTCACACATAAAATCCACTCATTTCACTCCCAATGTCAAAAAAAGATAGTCACCGTGTAACATTTCCCAAGCTTACCTTAATGAAGTAGTCGAATAAAGGCTTGTATTTCTTGCCTTTGAGAGATGCACCAGGAAACCTGGAAAATAAGATAAACTCATAATTAGATTAAAATCAAAGCTACAATCAAAGCTGGGGAAATGGTTCAGTCAGAAAATGCTTCCTACTTAAGCAGGCAGACCTGAGTTTGGATTCCCTGAACCCACGTAAAAAGCCAGGCATGGTCATGTACGCCTATAATCCCAGAGCTGGGGAGAAAGGATCCCTGGGCTTGCTGACCAGGTAGCCTAGCCCAGTTGGTTAGCTCCAGGTTCAGTGAGAGACCTTATCTCAAGAATAAGGAGAGCAACGATTGAGGAAGACACTTGAGGTTGGCCTCTGGCCTTTACAGGCACATCCACTCACATATTATATATACAGAAAATTAACAAATGATAAAAAAGCAAAGTAATGCAGCTGTGGCCAGAATAAGTCACCATCCCCTGAGGTTTGCAGTTGTTGGTCAAAATGTACAAATGGGAATTTCAACAGTCAGTACCCTAAAACTCAGCTTGAACAATACAGCTTTACGATGATGCAGATCGTCTCTTTTCAAAACTAAAGACAGACACTCCCACTTCCACTACTTGAACACTCACCTTTCAAGAATTTCATAGTCACTCTCTAACTTATAGAGGGCAGATAATCTGGCTTCCATTAAAATGAACAGTTTTCCTCTAGCAACATCTATGAGAACAAAGGAAAAAGAGGACACCAGTGACACTCAGACTGACTAATTGGCACACATCAGGCACACATCTTGTGCTGAGGAGTTTCTGTCTCACCTGTACCTAGCATGTGCCCTATACACACAGAGGAACACTACAAAGAACACAGTACAACCCTACTTCCCAGATGTGCAGTAGAGACACTGAAGGGAGTAAAGTCATTCATTAATTGCACCCACACCCATTTAAGGAAATTAATCTTTTCTCCTTTTAAAGATAATATATGTGAATCTTAACATTAACAACTCAGCTCATAAAGTCACCGCATCTTATAATTTCATCCCCTTAGATGGCTCCATTTCCAGATCCTTTTCTATGCCTATAGTAACCAAGGTATGTGAAAATGTATAGTCTCAAACTCACAGAGATCCAAGTGCTGGGGCTAAAGGTGTGAGACCTGACTATCTTTTAACAATCATGAGGTGATACTCTAGGTGGTTTTTCCAACTTGTGTTCACTTAATATATTGAGACTACCTTTATGTACACCAGAACATAAAGATCTTTCTTGTTTCGTGGTACTGAAGATTGATCCTAGGGTGGTGCACATGCTAGGCAAGAGCCCTATCACTTAGTTAGACCCCCAACCTATAATTTATTCAGCATCTCCACTGGATTTCACTTTATGGAGATACCAGAATTTATTCAATTAATTTATTCAACAAATCAATTAATGCATGGTTAAACTTCTTCAAAAAATGTCAATACCATGTACAGTAAGAAAATGTATACATCTGTTTACCCTCAATTTATTTCTGGAAGACAGTATCCTTGGAAACCTGGAGCAAATATATAAACATTGAAAATTTGATACTGACAAACTGCCCTACAAAAATCTAGATAAAGTTAAATTCTCACTCTAAAGTATGATATACTAGAATTTACTAGAGTGTGTTACGTATTTCTTTTTTTCCCCTTTTTTGGTTTATTTATTGAATTTTTGTGTATTTCATATACAATATCTTAATCATCTTTACACCCCCTTCCCCACTGGCACCCTCCCATAGCTCCCACACTGGATTTTATGCATTCTGGTATTTTTTAAAAAAATATTTTATTATTTTTAAAATGTGTATGTGTGTATTGCCTACATGTAGGTAAGTGCACCCATGTCATGCAATGCCCTCAGAGGAGAGGCTGTTGGATCCCCTGGAACTGGAGTCACAGATAGCTGTTAGCTGCCAGTGCTGGGATTCGAACCTGGGTCTTCTGCAAGAACAGCCAGTGTTCTTAACCACTGAGCCATCTCTCCCGCCCGCATTCTGGTATTTATGCTAAAACTTTTCAAGTCAAGTTAGTGTTCCCTGATATCCCTCAGTGCAAGTTCATTCACTGGGGTCTAGTCAGCCTATCTAGAGTCACCCCCTTAAAATAAACTCTTCCTCAAACAGTACTATCAGCTGCCCAACAGTTGTTTGGCCAAGATTTGGGCCTCCTGCCCATTTCCACAGTTTTATGCTGTGATTTTGTCTCCATGAATTTGCATGGGTCTTGTGCATGCTGTCACTATTGCTGTAAGTTCATATGAGCAAGGTTCCAGGAGCCTGTAAGACTCTATTTCCATATGATCATGCATCTCCTCCCTGGCTCTTACAATCTTTCCACCCCCTCTTCAGTAATGGTCCCTGAGCACTGGATGGCTGAAGTTTAATACTAGAGTCCTGTCCAAGGTCTGCAGACTCAGTCTCTACACTTTGGCCATTTGTGGCCCTTTGTGTTCATTGTCCTCTATTGCATTTACAATGGAACCTCTACACCTAAGGCTTATGGTATATAGGGAAACAAAGGGTAGAGAGAATGCATCTCTCAACTCTCATGTTACATATTTCTATGGATCATTTCAAAGACTTTGTAATTCATGGGAAAACTCCTCTTAAAGCTGTGGCCACTGCCCAGCTCTGACATCATAGCAACACTGTTATAAGCTGAGTGCATATGCTAAGAACAAGACCAAGTATGCAAGCTGTGTGGGCACATCTGTACCCTCCCCTACCGTGTGTATCTGTGTGTGTGTGTGTGTGTGTGTGTATGCTACATTTGAAATCTGTCATAAAATCCCTAACATGCCAGACACACTACAAATTACCAGTGACCCACTGGCTACACATAGAAATTGTGCTGATGGGATCACAGTTCCCTCACAGAAGCTGCTGCAGATTCCTGAGCCAAGATCCTGTATCGACAACAGCTATTCCCAATAGGCATCACCAATGTGTTCAAAGAAGAATAAATAAAGAACTTACCCCATACATTTTAAGACTGAATAATATTCTCTGTACATCTCATTGATCAATCACCTGTTGATGTAGACATATGGGCTGCTTCCACATTTTGGCTATTGCGTGGTGCTGCTATCAACACAGGTGTAACAGTATCTGACAAGCACCTGTTTTTACTACTTTGCATTCTTTTGTTTTCCTTTTTTCTTTGTGAGACAAGGTCTCAGGTAGCCAAGGCTGCTGGCCTCAAACTCATCCTTCTGCCTCTACCTCCAAAGTGCAAAGATTACACACCAAGCCCAGTTCCTGCTTTCAATTCCTTTAACTTTGGAAGAAATGCTATACTGTTTTCCAAAGCAGCTGTATCATAGCCTTTTTTCCCCCGATAATGAGTTTTTCTCTCTCTTCCTCTCCATAAATTACCCAAATCTGAAAGTATATTTGTTCAATAAGTACCAACCATCTTTTTTCCTATAAATCTCTATGGAAAAACCTAGATGTGAATATGAGAAACATCCACCATGGAATAGTTAAGAGGCCATGTTTCTGAATCTCAGATTTTTCATCTGGAATAGGGGAATGATGTGTAAAACTTACACTGCAAACTAGAAGTTATAAAATTTACTTTGTATCTTTTACATCTTAGAACTATTTAATTTTTTGTCACTTTCAACTAGAAAGGAAACAGTTTTTTAGAGGTTACTTTTTTTTTTGGTCTTTTTGAGACAGGGTCTCCCTGTAGCCCCAGCTGTCCTAGAACTCACTATATAGACCAGGCTGGCCTTGAACTCACAAAGATCCACCTGCCTCTGCCTCCCAAGTGCTGGGATTAATGGCATGCGCCACCACGCCCTGCTAGAGGTTACTTTTTATTTATTTATATTTTATGTATACGAGAATTCTGCCTGCATATATGGAAGTGGACATGTGGGCAATGCCCACAAGACAGTGTAAGATACCCTGGAAATGGAGTTATAGATGGCTGTCAGCCACCATGTGGGTACTAGGAACTGAACCTGGGCCCTCTCCAAAAGCAGCCAGTGCTCTTAACCTCCGAGTCATCTCTCCAGCCCCAAGGTTACTTTTTTTTCCTCTCTATTCTCCCCTCTCCCCTCTCATTTTGAAACAGGGTCTTGCTATGTTGCCCAGGGTGACCTCAAACTCAAGATACCTTCCTACCAGTGTCTTGTGTGCTGAGACAACATACCTGTCCCTATAGCTTATCTTTATGATTAAGTAAAATTCTTGTGGAAATTTTTTTTTTACTAAAAGAAATGTAAGCTTTTATATTTCCGTAAATGTATGTTGTTCATGCTAATCACAAGTAACTAGGCTTCTGCTGACCTTTAATCTTCACATACTGTGTTTCTGGATTAACACATAGGGCAAGGTTACTAGGTAGAGTCCAGGGAGTGGTTGTCCACGCAACTAAGGATGTATTTTCATCTTCCTCCAAAGGGAAGGTTACAAATACTGAAGGATCCTGAACATCCTGAAAGACATTGAGGGAAAACAGTGTTTTACAAACTTGCAAGAGATGTAACAAAAAGGAAATGTCTGAAAGGGAACTAAACAAATTTAATTTTCACAATAAAATGAGCTCTCAAAAAGGTACCTTCAGCTACAGTTAAAAGATGCTGTAACGATTATATGGAAATCACAAATATAAAGCATTTAAGATATGGGGTATCACGAGGCATAAAGTATGACGTGTCAGTATTGCAGTTTCTGTGCTGTAGTGAGCACACAAGAGCTGAAGGCAGCAGGGAAATGCTTAGGGAATAATTCTTTCTCCCCCATATATTATACGGTACATGTTTCTGTGCTTGAAATATTTTATTAAAGAAATTACAGTACAGGAGCAAAATCAGAAAGGTATTTAGGAGACAAAAAAGAATCTTCCCAGACACCTAGTAAGGACTTGCAAAGATCAAATGAAATAGGGAAAATATTCTCTACAATGATAGATGCTTCTGCTTATAACTGTAAGCTCTACTAATATAATTTCCAAACCTGGGCATGAAACAAGACTTCCCAAAAGTCAGTACCTTTTAAAAAAGAACATTATGTGAACTGGCAAAAGTTAAAACATTTTTATGAATACAGACAAGAAAGATACAGTTCACGTGCTCAAAGACTCACTAGGGCTTATCCTGTCTACTATATGACATAAAGCAGTCACCGCAATTACAGCAAGTAGTTATCAGAGAACAGATCCTAACACAACTTAGCATTTCAATTAAATCTTCAAAACACTTTTAAAAATATTTTAATTTTTTAACTCTATGTGTATGAATGTATTGACTGCATGTGTGTAAGTGCACCCATGTCATGGAATGCCCACAGATGACAGAAGAGGACATCGGATCCCCTGGAACTGGAGTTACACAGGTGGTTGTTAACTGCCATGGGTGCTGGGAATTGAATCCAGGTCTTCTGTAAGAGCAGCCAGTGCTCTTAACTGCTGAGCCATCTCTCAAGCCTCCAAAATACCTTTTAAGTGGCACACAACTTTAATCCCAACACTCAAGGCAGAAGCAGGCAGATATCTATGAATTTGAGGCCAGCCTGGTCTACATAGTTAGTTCCAGGCCAGCTAGGGCTACTGGGAGACCCTGTTTCAAAAAGACAAAAGAATAAAAAAAAATTTTTTAATGATATATATACATGTGTGCCTGTGTGGGCATGTGCATGTGACTGCAGGTACCCGGTGAGGCCAGAGGCGTCAGATTCCACAGGAGCTGAAGTTATTGGCAGTTCTAAGTCACCAAATGTGGTTGTTGGAACTGAACTTGGTTCCTCTGGAAGAACAAGTTCTCTTAACTGCTGAGCCATCTCTCCAGCCCATGCTCACAACACCTTTAACAGATAATACTATGAAGAACAGTAACTGGAAGAAAATATGTCAGACCTAGATTTGTTAAGCACAAAATATGATCAAAACAAAAAGTCTACCACATCTAAATTAACACATAATAAATCCAGTGGGGGAAAAGTATCCCTCTTTTTAATCTAACAGAGCCTCCAAGTGATGACTAGCAGTATCATCGGCACTCAGTAGTAACAGACATCAACACTGCATGTTGCGAATAACTGGGAATACTCAACGTTGATCACAAGCAGTCAACTCTTATACGAGAAGCCAATACTGAAAAACAGCTTAGCACATCTTTACCACATTATAGTACCTTGTAATTCTGGTGTGACTCAAAGTTGGAGAGTGGAGTGCTGCACGCAGTGGAGAAGGGCATGACTTTCACACCCCTATACACAAGGCCTTTGTCATAGAGTTGTTTGAAGACCCACCTGGCAAGTTAAGAGACAGTGTTTTAGAAATACATTATCAAAAATCTTTTGTTCAAATGCAGTTATGTTAATTTCTAGTTAGAGCTTCCTTCTACCAAAGAAGTGAAAAAACAATACATCATTTGGTGACTTTAGGTAAATCACAGCACCAATGCCTAAATGTAGATTATAGGAGTGCTACTATCAAGGCGGGGAGGTTGTTTGGTGGTATAGAGCTTATCCAGAATGTGCAGAGTCCTGGGTTCAATCCCAAACACCAGAAAAACAAGCAACCATCTACTGATAAGAAAAGTTGTCCACAACAATTAAGAAAGGCAAACAGTAGCTAAACAAAAGGAGAAGGAGGCAAATATTAGAGCACACTGAAAACTGACTTACCAATGATGTAAATCTCCACCTATCGGCATACTTACTTACACTAAAACTCTTAGCGATGTTGAAAGAACAAATTCTTATCAACATACTAATTATGATTGGGAACTTTCTTTGGGTTTTTGGTGTATTATTTAAATTTTTTAACAGGCAGGTTTTATAAAGCTATTGAAAAGTATAAACTACTAGGATTAGAATCATCTCTCTTCTACAGCTAACTAAATATTTTAATGAATATTTAAATGTGTTACTGTAAGGTAATTATAAATGGATACCACAGATACTGATGTCACCTCAAGTTCTCCTGTGTTGATTACTCACTTCTCCCAACTGGATTACAGACTGCATTGTGGGAATCCTTACTTCAATCTGCCTTTATTTTTTTTACTTTTCATTTTCTAGTTACAAGATGCCTAGGGTAATTTGTTTTTTGAGATAAAGTCTCTTACTAAGTAGCCTAGGCTAGCCTTGAATCATAATCCACAAGCTCAGCCTCTTTAATGCTTGGATTACAAGTGTGCACCACTACCTACAATTAGGATAACATATGGACTACACTCTTTCCCACAGGGCTGGGATGTATCTCAGTGGTAGTGTTTGCCAAGCAGGTTTAAGATCATGAGGATAATCCTCAGCACCACCTCAAAACAGAAAAAAAAAACAAGAACAAAGTCAAAAAAACTTACTTCACTTGCCAAAATGTGAAGAAATTTAAATTTCTTTTAAAAAGTTATGCTTTTTTGGTCTTTCTGAGACAGGTCTCCCTGTAGCCCCAGCTGTCTTGGAACTCACTATGTAGAGCAGGCTTAAAAAGTATGTTTTTTCATCCTATTTTCATGGCTTTAGAAAAAGGTAAATATACCTTTATATATATCTCTAAAAGGCTGAGTTTTTTACGTTTACTTATACATATGAATCTGTATGTGGGTATGTACACATGAGCGCACACGCCCACAGAAGGAAGAAGAGGGCATTGGATCCCCTGAAGCTGGAATTACAGGAGGTTATGAGCTACCCAACATGGGTACTAGGAACTGAACTCAATTCCTCTGGAAAAGCAGCAAGTATTCCTAACTGCTGAGTCATTGTCCCAACCCCTAAAAATGTTATTTAAAACAAAATTCTCGCCAGCATGGTGGTATATGTATACAATTTCAATACTTGTCTGAAATCCCAATTATTTGAGGGGTTGAGGATAGGAGATTATGAGTTTGAGGTCAGCCTAGACTATAACCTGGCCTCAAAAACAAAACAAAACAAAAACGTCCCGAGTTGAAACTCAATCTTCAATTATAGCCTATGATACAAGAACACTCACAACAGAGGAAAGAATATTAGAGGAACATAATATATTAGAAAGAGGCTTAAACTTAAGAGCCATAAAATTATCAGTGTGATCTCAGGCTAGTCATAATCACTTTTACCTCCAGTAAAATCCTAACCCAATCCACAGGGCTCTCTGGATCATGTGGGAAATACTTTATATAACACTCCCAAGCATCAACTCAATCTAAACTGTCACTACTAGAGATACTTCCATTATTAATGGGATCTCATTACTTTTTGAATTTATCATCACTCTACTTGCCTTCTTTATATGGCCATGTGCTCCTGAAGAATACCAAGCCTTTAAACTCCAAGAGCTTTGTTTCTTTCTGTGGTGCTGGGGGAGGGGAGGGTCAATCTAGGGCCTTACACATGCTAGGCAACTACTGTTCCACTGGTCTGCAGCCTCAGTCCTTGGACTTTTTAGACAAAATGTTTGTTTGGTTTTTTTTGGGAGGGGGGGATGAAAAAGGTTTATTTGGCTTAAATGTTCCAATCACTGTCCTCTGTCATCAAGGGAAGTCAGGAAAGGAGCTCAAGTAGGTTCCTGAAAGGCAAAAGCTGGCAAAAACCAGAGGATTGCTGCCTACTTGCTTGCACCTGTTTTTTAGACAAATTCTTAAGAATTGTGAATTTGAGGCCAGTGTGGGCTATACTGTGAGTTCAAGATTACCTTGAGCTACATAATAATCTGTCTAAAAATTCCAAGGACTGGAGCTGGAGAGATGGTTCAGAGGTTAAGAGCACTGGCTGTTCTTATAAAGAACCAAGGGACGATTCCCAGCACCCACATGGTGGCTAACTGTCCCTAACTCAAGAGGAAAAGGCAGGAAGATTACAAGTTTGAGTTCTGTCTGGGATACACAGTGAGACCTTGTCTCAAAATATCAAGGCTGGGGCTGCAGACATGGCCCAGCCATTTAAGAGCACTTACTGCTCTTGCAGAAGACCTGGGTTTACTTCTCAGCACCCACATAGTACCTCACGACTACCTGTAACTCCATTTCCAAGGAATTCAACACCTCTTCTGGCCTCTTCAGGGTGCTGCATACACATGGTGCACATAAATTCATATGGCACACACATAAACATAAGTTAAAAAAAAAAAAATGTGGCTCAGTGGCAGACAGCTTGCCTAGAATTTGGAAGGCCCTATGTTCACTCCCCAGAACCAGGGGAAAAAACAAAAATAAACTGAAAAACACCCAGCTTTGTAATTCTTCTGTTTTTTTGTTTTTTTTTTTTAAAGTGTGCGTGTATCGCCTGCATGTGTGTAAGTGCACCCATGTCATGCAATGCCCATTGGATCCCCTGGAACTGGAGTTACGGACAGTTGTTAGCTGCCATGTGGGTGCTGGGATTCGAACCCGGGTCTTCTGCAAGAACAGCAGTGTTCTTAACTGCTGAGCCATCTCTCCAGCCCCAATTCTTCTGTACTTTTAAAGCATTAACTTAATAAAAGCAAGATTTCCTCAAGGTTGAATTATATGCCTTGGATATTTTGCAACCATAATGATGTTGCCTGTTGACCCAGTAATGATTCTCAGACTAGTACAGAAGGTCCACTTAGGACCACCCAATAAGACTGGCCTTGCTTCCATTGTCTTATGTAGCAAAAAGCAAATTTTCATTTGTATATATTACCAAACAATAATTAATTTCAGCAGTTCATTCACGTACACAATCCCTTATACTTTTTAAAAAGATACTTTATTTATTTACTTTTAAAATTTTATGTGTATGAGTGTATTGCCTGCATGTACATAAATGCGTCCATGTCATGCAATGCCTAAGGAGGTCAGAAGAGGGCACTGAGTCCCCTGGAACTAGAGTTTCGGACAGCTGGGAGTCAAACAGGGGTCCTCTGCAAGAGCAGCCAGTGCTCTTAACCAGGAGCCACCTCTCCAGCTCCACACTATCTCTTATGCTTAAAAGTGATTTTTCCTGCCAGGCATGACGGCACATGCCTTTAATCCCAGTACTTGGGATTTAGAGGCAGGCTGATCTCTATAAATGTAAGTCCACCTGGTCTACACAGTGAGTTCCAGGCCAGGCCACTCAGAGCTACATAGTAGTGAGATCCTATGTAAAAACCAAAACCAAAACAAAACAAAAACTCCATTCTCTCTGAATTTGGTACACATTAGTTTGGGGCAGGGAACCCACAAACACCAAAACCAAACCAGAACAACCCTTCACTTGACATTAGACTACAGTCTTTATTCTACTTCGCAGAAATACAAACACATTTGAACCTACTAGAGCTCTTCTACACTACAGAAGATGTGCATACTCTATTGTATTTCCAAAATCTAAAAATCTGAATACAAAAATATACCTTCTCTAAAATCCAATAATTAAAGACTTGAAAACAAACTGCTTCATGCAAGCATACCTCTCCTCTAACCAATGCAAAAGAATATGCATCATACTCACAATTTTAATAAACCTACCAGACTGATTCCATGAATTCTGGATACAGAGTCTTATAGTCGTTATCAAAGTCAATCCATCGGCCAAGTCTGGTAACAGTAGACTTGAAAGTATGAATAATATAGTATTAGAAAAACGAGACCTGCCAGTTTTTTACTTTTATTTTTACTACATACAAATATTCTGGGAAATCAGAATAATCAATGGTTCAAGTAAACTTGTATGTGTCCCTGGCTGATTCAGAAGTTCAGGCTGGCCTTGAACTTGTGGTGATCCTCCTGCCTCTGCCTTCCCAGTACTGACATTACAGGTGTGCACCACCATGCCTAGCAGATATTCACTAGTAACAGCCTACCAAAACCATCATTTGGTGAACACCAGAGAAATACCCATAGTTAGGAAGAATCATAAATGGATGCTAAAATTAATGACCGAAAGTACTTAAAGAAAAAGAATGTTGGAAATAATATTCCCCTAAGATACTTATTTCAAAGAAAAACCTGGGGGCTGGAGGGATGCCTCAGCGATTAAGAACACTTGCTGTTCTTCCAGAGGACCTAGGTTTGATTCCCAGCATCCACATGGAGGCTAACAACCATTCATAACTCCAGTTCCAAGGGATCTCACACCCTCTTCTGGCCTCTATAGGCAGTGCACACACATGGTGCACTTACATACATGCAGGCAAAATACACATACACATAAAATAAAAATTAATAAAATATCAATTAAAAAAAAACCTGAAACGTCACAAAGGAAAAACTAGATAGCCAGACATCTTAAATAAGACATCAATTCTTATGACACAGCACATACAGGTATGACATTACTTCTGTGTCATTCTTGCCAAAATTGCACACCTAAATTGGGTCATGAGAAAACAAGAATTCTATACATATCTTTGCATACATTCTTCAAAGGTAGCAGCTGTGGATACAGCTCAGTGATATACAGCAGCACCTGTTTAGCATGCACAGGGATTCAATACCTAGTAACCTTCCCTGCCCCGCAAAGGGACAAGGTCATAAAAGACAAAGACTAAACAAACATTCTACATCAAGGAGACTAAGAAGACATGCCACTAGCTACAAAGGCTAATCCTGGACAGGCATTTGGATCAGAGATAAAAATTAGTGGGACAAGAGGAGAAACTCAAGATCTATATAATATCTTATTAATATGAATTTACTGCTTTTGTGTGTCACTGAAGATATCAGCAATTGGAAACGGTAGATGAAGGATACAGAGGAATGCTCCATATTGAGTATATAGTTTTTAATATGCTTGAGATTATCTCAAAATAAAAAGTTAAGAATTTTTAAGAGAACAAAGAAAAGCAGCAGATCTGTATTTCAGCTGTATTCATCCTCACCAGAACTCTTCCCCTCTGGTGATCAGTCTGGAAAAAAAATAAGCTCTGACTTTCATGTTGATGGAACCAAACTTTATATACCAATAGAGTGAAGCTACTCAATGTCCAAGCAGGAGGACAGAAGCATGAAAGGACCATGAGGAAAGCAAGGTGTGGTGGCATGTGCCTGGAATCCCAGCACTCAGACTGTTGAAGCAGGAGGACCTTGGGTTCTGAGCTACAGAATGAAACAAACACAAAGAACATGAGGAAATACATGGAGAGAGAGCCTTAAAGAAAAGGAAAGAAATTCTATACACCAAAAGAAAACACTCATTGGGATTTGGTACCTGATGCAATCAAGGGGATTAACGTTTAAAGGCTAGGGAAGTAATACCATTGTACAAATTCTGAGGAACAGTAAGCTTGAGAGTTTGAAGGTAAGATGGAGAATATTGGGGGGTGGGGGGGACAGACATTATTATAAGGTTTCAACATAAGAGGAATGGGTCCAAGCTTAAATTCTTAAAAATATCTAAATTGCCAGGTACAGTGGTACATGTCTGTGATCTTAGAACTTGGGAAGGTCAGGCGAGAGGAGAGCCATGAGTTCAAGGCCAGCCTGGGCTGCACAGTGACAACCAGGTTAGCCAGGGCTACCTAGTAAACTCTCTCAAAAACCCAAACCAAACCAACAAAACCTCTGTGTTTTTATATTGAAACATCCAAGTAAGTCTGTCCCTCAGAACATCATGTTTATCACTGTGGGGCTAGAAGTAGAATAATTATCAAACCTCAACTTAATACATAAAAGAATCAGGAAAAAAAAAAAAGAGGGCACAGTTTTAGCTAACAGGGTTGGGGGCTGAAGCTAAAGACCCTTCCTTGTGCAGTCACAGTATAAAAAGGAGGGTCAATCCAACCCCTTATGTCACCACCTCACACGGACAGCCATGCTTTGGGGAACATTTCATAAAAAGCACAAGGGATGATAAGCCATTTAAATTCCCATTCTAAAAGTAAACTTCCTATTCATTCTCCTGAAAACACCCAACATACCCTCCACTCAGTAGAATATCTCATCACAATGGCTCGGCACTGTTTGTTATATTCCGCAATCCCCATTTTTGCCACATCCTCGGGCCCGTTGATTCCCAGTGTCCTATCAATTTCATATTCCTGAAAATACAATATAAGATAGTTAACAAACTTACCTTATGAAACAAATACAACTAAGCAACCCTAGAAAACAAAACAGCTTTTCCAAAAAAAAAGCAAAAAAACTACACAGAAAATTAGTAATAAATAATAATATGGAAACGAAGAAGGAAGTATCTGACATGCTTGTAAGTAATCAGTACATTTGAACTGGTGGACAAAGATATAAGACAGGTGCAAAAGTAAATCCTCTCTGTAACCCAGAACTCACTGCTCAGTGTGAGTCTTGATATATGTATGAAGGAATATAATACTGAAGACAGCTCAAAGTGATGATGGCACTGATAATGAGGTTGATTCAAAGAACACGGAGTTGATAATTTAAAAGAAAAAAAAGCATCAAAATCCATAAAGGCTGGAGACTCAAACGTACCACAGGTAGGCCATGACAATCCCATCCAAATCTTCTGTCAACATGAAACCCATTCTGGTGAGCATATCTTGTAACTATATCTTTAATTGTCCCTGCAAGTATATGTCCATAGTGAGGCAGTCCAGTTGCAAAGGGAGGCCCGTCATAGAAGGTAAATCTAACATAATAGAAATACATCAAGTCATTTTAAAACAGCAAGAAATTAGGACATTCTTATGTACGTAGTTATCATAGTCGAACATTTGGTGGTGGGGAGGAAGCAACAAGACCAGGGGATTCAGACATAACCAATTAGAAATTGACTGGAGGCCCTGCCTTCAGAAAGGCAACTAGTTATGAGAGAGCTGAGGAGACGGTTATGAACAAAGACTACAGGCAGAAAACACTGTAGATGTCTGTGGGGCTTATATTTAAGTGCTAAGTACTTAGTGAGGGTAGCGATGATTAAAAAATATAAGAAAGCAGCGTACAAACTATTCAAATGACTTCTAAGAACTAAGAACTCTCTTATTAATGTTCATTCCTGAGTATGTATTATGGCCACAACTGAGAGACTCTAAGAGGTATCTGCACGGATGGAAGTCCTATAAGAAATGTCTTATGAGAAATCACTACTTGTAAAGACTCTGTCTTTACCAAAGAAATTCACTTACTTTGGCCTATGTTTTGATTGCTTTAAGCATTCCTGGAAACAATTAAATTTGGACCAGAACTGCAAGATCTTCTCCTCTTCAGCAGGAAAATTGATGTTTTCTGGAACTTGTTCAACCATTCTGTTGCTGTAAGAGAAATCAATTTGCTATGGTCACAGAGAAATCTAGGAATAGCAAGATAATAATTGCTAAAATGGGAATACACATTACTTCATACATACTGCATGTGTAAACCAACAGCTTTAGTGGGTAAAATGTATATACCATAAAGTGTATGCTTTAAAAGTGCATAATTCAGCTGGGTGTGGTAGCCTACGCCTTTAATGCCAGCACTGGAGAGTCTGAAGCAGGCTGATCTCTGAGACTGAGGACAGCTTCTTCAAGTTCCAGGCCAACTGGGGCAATAATGAGACCTTGTCTCAAAAACAAACAAAAAGGGGTACAGTTCAGGTATTTTTTAGTATATTGAAAAGGGACGTAACCACCCATCACCACTATCTAATTTCAGAACACATTCAAACCTCCCCTAACCATTAAAAATCACATTTTCACCCAGTTCAGCTCTGGCACCCTCTAATCTTCTTGCTAACTCTATAATGATGTGCCTATTTATATTTCATGTAAAATGAAAATTTATCTGTTTGTGTCTGGTTTCATTTGCTTAGCATGTCATTAATACTATAATCACATTGATACTTCATATGGCCCTACCACATCTTATAAATTCATTCATTTACACATGTGGAACGTGGAATGATTTGCCTTTTTGGCTTATTGTAAGGCTGCTATGAACATTCAAGTTCAAATTTCCATTCAGGGGCCAGTGAGATGGATCAGTGGGAAAAGGCACTTGCCAATAAATCTGACCACCTGAGTTTGATCCCATATGATGAAAAGAAGATAATTAACCTCAAGTTGATATCTGATCACACATCTACCATGGAATGTTCATAATCTCCCCCCACTCAAGAAAAACAAAGGCAGGCCGGGCGTGGTGGCACACACACTCACAGGCAAATCTCTGTGAGTTCAAGGCCAGCCTGGTCTACAGAGTGAGTTCCAGGATAGCTGGGGCTACAGGAAGACCCTGTCTCAAAAAGACCCCCCCAAAAAAAACAAAAAAAAAAAAAAAACTTTTCTCTTAGGTATATAGTTATGAATGGAATTTCTGGATCATATAACTGTCACTTAACTTTCTGAGAAGCTGCCAAAATGTTTTCCAAAATGACTGTACCACTCTAGGTCTCCCCCAGCAGTAAACGGGGGTGCCAACTTCTTCATATCCTCCCTACCCATCCTTACTGTCTAGCTTTGCAGTAGAGCTGTCTTACAGGATACGAGGTAATACTCAACTGTAGTTTTGAGTTATATTGCCCTAATGACCACTGATGACCGAATGACCATGTGCGTTATAGGCCATTTGTATATCTTCTTAGGATAATATTTACTCAGCCTTTGCCCTTTTTAAATTGGGTTGTCTTTTCAAGGCTGAGGTTTAAGAATTCTTAAAGGGGCTAGAAAGGTAGCTCAGTGGTTAAAAGTGCTTGCTGCTCTTCAAGTTCATTTCCCAGCACCCATGTCAGGTGGCTCATAACTGCCTCTAACTCCAGTTCTAGGGGATCCGATGCCCTCTTTTGGCCTCTGCAGACACCTGTATATACCTGGCCTACACTCAAACATAAACATAAATAAAACTAAAAATAAGCCTTAGGAAAAAAATCTTAGGCTAGGTTATGGTGGCACACACCTTTAAATCCCAGCATTCCAGAGACAGAGGCAGGTGGATCTCTGTGAGTCTGAGCCAGCCTGGTATACACAGTGAATTCCAGAGCAGTCAGGGCCACTTAATGAGACTCTGTCTCAAAATAAATAAGCACTAAAAACAACGTAATTTAAGAATAGCAGTTGACTCAGATGCAAGAGTGAAAAAGGAAGCATCTTAAAGAAAAAGAACAGATGTATCATTTACGTAAAACAGCCATTTCCAATCAGAACACACCATGAAACATTATTAGATCTGCTGTTATTACAACAGCCAGCCTTCCAAAGATGGAACGAAATTAATTTCCATTATTTATTGATTTGTCGGGGGTCCCACTGGCTCAGCAGGTACCTAATCAGAGGCATGGAATTGTATACAGAAGCTAAGAGATGTTTAGACAGCAACACATTCATTTTTGTCACTTCTAATCTACTCTTGAGATGACTATCTTTTGGAGCTTATTAGAGATGCAGAATCACCAGCCACAACCAGGACCCAGGGTCAGAATGTACATTCTAACAAGATCGCTAGGAGACTCACACGCAGATCTAACTTGAAACAATGTCATTCCATACTGTTCTGATAATTAGTTACTCAGGGATATCCACTCCAACCTCTTTGTTGAGAACATGATATCTAAGCTTTCTGAGAAGTGGGAGAACAGCTTTTACTGAACTTTCAATGGGGTCTCTACTGCCCCCCAAAAGATTAAGAATCACAGTATTATATCAAATACAGAGATCTTGCACAACAGCACTGTTTTAGGAAGAACAATGTACCAGTGACCGGGCTATGGCAGCTGCTGAGAAGAAACAGCTCCCATGCATAAATCACAGGATTTCTCTGGCCCACTGTACCCACTGGAGAGCTGTACCTGCACAACAGCCTCCAGCAACCACGGGGCGGAGGGAGGAGATGAGGTTGAGGAAGGGCATGTCAACACTGCCAGGTAATGTACAAGAATGCCATTCTGTCCTTTGCCTTCTAAACACAACCCAGGCCCTCCTTCTTCACTGTTCTGTAACTCCTTCAGGCCATTTTGGCCTCAGCTTCCTCGGGCTGCTCCTCTTCCTTTTTCCTTTCCTTATACAGCCAAGGTTGGCTTACTCCCTGTGTAGCTAGGGATGACTCTGAACTTCAGATCCTCCCCCCTCTACTTCCTGAGTGCTGGGATCATAGGTAGGCTTTTAGGAGGTATTGGGGATGGAACGCAGGGCCTCAAGCATGCAAGGTAAGCATTCTATCAACTGAGGGAACTCTGCTACTTTTAAACTACTTCCTTTACCTTCATTTAAATTTATCTCAATATTATGTTTTTAAAAAGATTGCATTTATTTTTATTTTACATGTATGGGTGTTTTGCCTGCATGGATGTAAGTAGTAAGCACACTACATGCACACAGTGCCCATGGAGGTCAGCATGTATGTAAGTCATAAATATACTACATGCATGCAGTGCCCATGGAGGTCAGAAGAAGGCGACAAATCCCTTGTAACTGGAGTTACAGCTGGTTGCGAGCCTCCATGTAGGTGCTAGGAACCAAACCTGGGTTCTCTGTGAGAGCAGCAAGTCCCCTTGAACACAGTCATCTCACCAGCCCCCATCTCAGTATATCCTGAGAAAGTACAATGAAACTCCTTAGATCTTGATAGGTGTTAGCATATAACTGTCACACCAGCACCTGGGAGGATGATCACAGGTTTGAGGAAAGGTTAGATTGCACAGACTGTCTGAAAAACAAACATGCTAGCATCTTGCTACAATTGATTTCTCTTTTAACTCTGCTAAATGGCTCCACCACTCTTTTCATTACTCATGCTGAGTGCCTTTTCCTGGGGCTATGTGAATGTTCAGTCAGTCCAGACAGTCCAGATACAATGGCCCAAAGAGCCGGCTCAGTGGAGAAAGGTGCCTTCTGCCATGCCTGATACCTGAGTTCAATCTCCAGGATCCAGATGGTGTAGAGAACTGACTTCTGCAAGCTGTCCTCTGACCTCCATATATGCACTGGCACACACACATTTGCACGCACACAACCACACACAAAATAATTTTTTTTTAAAAAAGGAAAAATTTGTACACAAAGATACTCGCACGTGAAAGTTAAAGATATCAGGATGAAATTTTTTTCTTGTCAGATTCAGACAAAATTAAAAGCTAGAACATTAAGAGTGGAGAGGACTCATGTTTGTGTACTGCGTAAGTACTTTCTAAAGGTTCAAAAGAGGGGATGGACTGGGACCCTAGCATCAAAATAAAGAGATAATCCTTTTACCTGGCCCTCTTAGGCCATGGTAAGAGCTTACTGGAGCATGTGTATTCCCACTGAAATAATCTGCTACTCTCAAATAAGTATCAATCATTAGAGAATCTTCCCCTCATTCTTATTTAGGTTGACACATGGAAGCACTGCTTTTACAGACAAATGACAGAGAATAACCAAGCTATGCAAGATGGCTAAAGTAGTACAGTGCACCAATAAAATGAGTACCATGCAGCTAGTAAAGAGAAGCTGGTGCACATAAAATATAGTTGGTCTGGGCTGGGGGTAGCACTCAGTGGCATAGTGCTTCCCTAGTATGAATAAAGATTTGGGTTCAAACTCCAGCACCATCAAAAAATAAAAACCACCCCAAATCAATCAATCAAACCAAAAATCCTTCTGCATCTGCAAGGCACTGGTTTCAGGAAGCCTTGAAATACCCAAACACAAGGATGCTGAAATCTCAACATATATAAAATGCAGAATTTGCATAAACATTCATTTCCTTGTGTATTTTAAATAAACTAGATTACTTACAATTATCTAATACATTTTTAAAAATCAAATGAGAAATTTAGATTTTTTTAATTAGTTATTTTTTTTGAGACAGGGTCTCCCTGTAGCCCCAGATGGACTGGAACTAACTATGTAGAACAGCTTCACCTCCATCTCACAGAGATCAGCCTGCCTCTGCTTCCTGAATGCTAGGATAAAAGACATGCGCCACGGTGTCCTGCTAAACTTATTTTTTTATCTTATGTATATACTCGTCTTTTGCCTGCACATATGTTAAGTGCGCCCTTGTATGAAATAGTCCCAGAGGCCAAAAGAAGGCAACGGATCCCCTGAAACTGGAATTATGGAGGGTTGATGGCTGTCATGTAGGTGCTCGGACCCAAACCTGGGTCCTCCGAAAGAGAAGTCAGTGCTCTTAACCGCTTAGTCATCTCTCCAGCCCTAATACTTAATACATCTAAAATGCTAAACAGTTGTTATACTCTATTGTACAAGGAATAATGATCAGAAAAGAGTCTACATGTACAGATGTAACCATTAACCTAACTACATAGCATTTGACCATTACTTCGTTGAAACCATATTCTACTTACACATTAAAAGAAAAACGTCAGGCATCCCGATCTATGTGCATATTATACGTAGCATATTTTCCAAAGGCTTTTTTTTTATTTCATGAACCTACTAAAACTGTGAACCATAAATTCATACTTCATAAGGTTGGAAACTGTCCCATCCCACCTACTCCTCATACACATCCTAAGCTAGTGATAACGGCGACGGCTCATCTTCTGACCCAACATGATGGTTTCTTTTGGGTGTGGTACTCCGCCCTTCTCCAAAGTCCAAGCTCACAGGAGCTCCAGACAATGCATCCCCTTCCACCTCCAAATTCCTCTGAATAGCTATCCTTTGTTTCCAATGAGGTGTGAGCGTGAAAACGGCATTACCAGTCTCTTTGTGAGCCCAGGACCAGCACACTGCATGTACCTCACCCTCCCAAGGTCCCCAGGATTTAGTGCACGGGGACCAGGAACACGTAAGGAGGGTCTGGAATTCGGAATGGCTCCTAAATTAGTCCTTACAAACAAATGCCTAGACTTGGAGACCTTATCCGCCTTCCGACCTTCTTTAGGATGTTCTACCACCCTCGGTTCGCACACTACAGGATTCAAAGACCACCGTGGTGCCAGTGCACAACTGAGGAACTTCTATAGCTCTCAGCCCTCGGCCGGTTGACACAGGAAAGGACTGGTGCCTGGCTCGAGTTCTGCAACGCCACTGACCGCCCCTTCTCGTCGGCTCTTTGGGAATTGCTATGTACACGGCGCAGGCATGGCAGGCCCAGAAAGTGTGCGCCTTTTCACTGTCATGCCTGGGGGCTGTAACACGCGCGGGCCTCGGTCTCCGGCCAGCCTAGCGCAATGGGGGGCCCGCGGAGCGCAGGGTGCAGCTTACCTGGGGAACCCCGGGCCCTGGAGCCCTGGCAGGACCTGTGGACCACGCTCGGGCGCGGGTACTCGAGATGATGTAATGCGTGACAGCACCGCGCGCAGGCGCCGGCTACGGACTGCCCAATCAGCTCGTGCCGTCAGACACCCACAAACAACCCTTGCGGCGATTGGTCGCCTGCGCCGTAGTCCTGCTCTGTGGGAAGCCGGTCTTCAGGGCTCAGCCCGGAAAGCTAAGAGGAGGAAGGGGACTGCGCCCTGACGTCACGGCGGGGCGGGGCAGCAGCCACCAGTCTGGGCCTCTGAGCCGGCGGGGCTCCTTCAGCTTGGGTACCTAGTCCTCTGAAAGGATGTAAGGTCTGGCCATTTCGACCATTAAATCACTTCTAAAATTATTTTGACACCAGGTCTCAAGTATCTCCGACTGGTCTGGAACTCGCTTTTCAGCCAAGCCTTGAACTTGATCTTCCTACCTCCACCTCCCAGTGCTGGGATTACAGGCGTGCCCCACCACACCTACTTTGTATGAGATGCTCAGTTATGAACCCAAGTCTTTGGCCTTGCCAAATAAGGCGTGAGAGTGGAAACTGCACTCTGCCAACTGAGCTACATTCCCAGACCCCTCATCCAAAATTTATATCCATAACTGAAACTTTGGACAAGTGGCTACCATAATTATTCTGGGGCCAGTGCAGTTAACCTGAAGACTGCTTGCCGTGTGGTAAATGGCCTGAGAAGGGAAGAAAGGGTATGGCAACCTGCTTTAAGATGGTTCCTTTAATTTAAAATACAATTTGAGCCGGGCTTGCCTTTAGTCCCAGCAAGCCAGAGCCAGAGGCCTTTGAGTTCAAGACCAGCCTGTTCTACATAGTGAGTTCCAGGCCAGCTGGGGCTATGGGGAGACCCTGTCTTTAAAAGACCAAAAATAAATAAATATAATTTGCTTATTTATTATTATCATGCATCTGCTTAGTACCTTCCAGATCTGCTGATTAAAAACAAAAGGGAATCTGGATCTTGGCACCATATCCCTTGAAGGAAAGTTTTGACCTTGACAATTGACTTAAGTGACCAACTGCCCATTTTATTCCTTATTGACAGAAAAAATGGATTTGGCCTTAAAAAGGCAGAAAGTTTAGTAAGTCTCATTGAGGACATTTTTGATAAAACTATTCAGCATCTACTCAATATTTACTATGTTCTAGGCCCTACTGTGTTGAGAATTAAAGTGAGTGGGTTCATGTTCTCCTGAAAAGGGGTTACCTTACTTACTTGATCAGGGATATAGTTTATTAACCAAAAAAATTCAGAATGTTTTTAAGTTTTGGCATTTCTATGTTGTTACCTGTCTGTTCAGAGAGCAGAGATAGAACAAAAGGCACCTGGACAGGTGTGTGTGGGGGAACAACCTATGGATCTTGACTGACTAGTCTGATTTAAAAATTGGATTTGGGGGCTGGAGAGATGGCTCAGCGGTTAAGAACACTGACTGCTCTTGCAGAGGACCTGGGTTCAATTCCCAGCACCCACATGGCAGTTACCAACTGTCCTTAACTCCAGTTCTAGCGGAACCTGAAATTGACCTCCGTGGCATTGCATGACACGAGTGCACTCATTTACATTCAGGCAATACACTCATACACATAAAATAAAAATAATAAATAAAATACTTTTTAAATTGGATTTTGAAACATTATATAGCACTGTTGTGTTGGAAAGTTAAGAGAACACTACAGAAACAAACTCAATCCCCAGCTGAACCACCGTAATGACACCACATGGAACAGAGATCAGTACCCCAGAGAATGCTAACTATGGTCAATATGGCTCATTTATGAGCAAAATAGGGGCTTTTACTGAGATAACAAGGTATAAATGTGATTTACATCAAGAGAACATAGAACAGCTTGTTGAGTAGTTCTGAAGGCTTAGAAACACAGAAATCTAGATTGACTCTTCAAGCTTATTCTTTGTATTCTAAAGATTTATTTTTATTTATGCATATGTGTATGTATGTCCCTTGTGTGCAGGTGCCTGAGAAGACCAGTAGGCATGAGATCCCCTGGAGCTGGAATTATAATACAGGTAATGGTAAGCTGCTCATTGTGGATGCTGAGAACTGAAATCAGGTTTCCTGGGAGAGTAGCAAGTACTCTCAACAGTGGAGACGTCTTTCCAGTTCCTGCACCCTACTTTACAAAAACAAAATAAAACAAAATGTAAAAACTGAGCATCTGTGTAACAGGCACAGATTCAGGCAGTGAGGACGTAATGGTTAACAAACCAGAATAGATCCCAGACCTCATAGAGTATGTAAAGGAAATTGTTAATCAAGAAATGTGATAACTTGAGATGCCCAACCTGACTCAATGATAGTCTCTTAGAACACCTTTTTGTACATTTAAATACGAGGTCTGTCTTGAACCCAGATTTAGTGAAATTTGAAACCTGCTTTCTTATCTGGACTTGGGATCTGACTCCTATCTGTTGAGTATAGCTTTTTAAAAAAAATTATTATTATTATTTAGACAGGGTCTCACTATGTGGCACTACCTGACCTGACCTGGAACTTGTGTAGACCAAGCTGACCTCAAACTCAGAGAGATCTACCTGTACCACCACACCTTGGCTTGGTCTTTATTGTCTATATGTGTCTAAATGTATTTGTGTGTGCTGTGGCCCATGTAGGCTAGAAGAGGGTGCTGGAACCCCTAGAACTGGAGTTATAATCGTTAGTCATCATGTGGGTTCTGGAACAAAACTCAAGTCCTATGGAACAGCAGCAACTGCTCTTAACCACCGAGTCATCTCTCTAGCCTCATAGTTGGTATTTTTCATAAACCCTGGTCTAATTAGACTATTGAGAGTGATAGGCCCACCTTCATATGTTGTTACATAATTGAGGACCGGAACACACTGTAATTGTCTTCCTTTTCTGATCCTCACAGAACTCTTAGGATGTTGGTCTAAACATTTCAATTAACTTGTCATCAGAACACAAGTTCAGAGCTCAAAGTTGACTTGTAATTCATCCCCACATCCCTTTTTCAAAGGATAAAACAAAGGTAAAGAGTATTTAGAATAATCAGAAAGATTTAAACACATGTACACTGGGGGGCTGGAGGGATGGCTCAGCAGTTAAGAACACTGGTCATCCTTGCAGAAGACCCGGGTTCAAATCCCAGCACCCACATGGCAGCTAACAACTGTGGCAGGTTTCCTCATGGGTCCAGCCCACAAGGGACTGCAGGGAACAAAGGTTCTGGCCGAGGTGGGGGTGAGCGGCATGGAGTCAACACACAGACACTGGGAGTCAGGTGGAAGCAGGCACTAGGCAAGGTGCTTCAGACTCGTTTATTGCTGGGAAGGGCAGGCCTTATATATATCTCTCCCCCTGCCCCCAGTGTCCCATAAGCTGGTGTGTCACTCCCTGATAGATCCCCTCATCCAGGCCACTCGCTTCATCAGTCTCTAGGTCCGGGGGCAGATTATAGGTTGGCTCTTTTGCGGAAGCGCGGGCTGTGCTCTCAAGGCGGCCTGTGCTTAGGTCTGCACTTCACCCTCTACATATCCATCCCTTTTTATTATAGAAATGTCAGTGGGAGTCAAGGTTCTTTGCCTCAACATAGTGGACTCCACCTCAGAGGGCACCCAGCTGGATGAACTGTGCCTGTCTTAGGTCATCCTGACCATCAGGATCTTACCCATCATTGACTACCAGCCCTCGAAGGGTGTGACCTCTGGCATGACCATGTGAGGGAGGAGGAGGGCAAGAAGTTACACAACTACTTCTTGGATATCAGCAAGCCGGATCTACTGGACCTTGGGGTTGAGGGGGTCGAAGTCTGGATCCTTGAGCATCTTGAGAACCTGATACACCGAGTAATTTACTTGGTTTTGTCTGCAGAAGCATAGAACAAGTCATTATATGAGCAAGAAAAGAATTGAGACTATGATACACAAGAGTAAATAAGTAACAATCCATGAAGGGTCAAACAAAGCTTTTAAGTTTGACCGAAGTTTGTCAAAGAGCCCAGAGTTTATATTCAATGTCTGAGCCTGTGTATAATTTAGGGAGGTGAGCTGGTCAGTGAGCAAGGTGGAGTAGTTGAGAAACTTTTGGCTCCAGTGGCCATGGATGTACTGTGAGAGTTCCAACCTGGCCCTAGCGAGGTTATCTACTTTGTAAGGTCTAAGACACAGAGCTTTGAACTGTGGGTCACAGGCCATTAGCGTCATCTGTTTGACGATTGCCATCTCTTCCCCAGGAGGTCTTCCTGTTGTTGGATGACAGAAATGGCCTGGAAGAGGTGTTGATTAATAAGAGATTGAGTATGTAAGGCCACAGAGGTTTTAGATATGACCTCATTGAGTGTTTCCGCAGTAGTGCAAGATTGAGTGATAGCAATAGCAGCAGTGGCAGCAGCCCCTAGGGAAAGGATAATGGAGGTGACAATCGCTGCTGTAATACCAAAATCTCTCTTGATCCAGGGGAAGGGTTGGAGAGCCATCTGTTCCATGAGGGTGATAACATGGAAGTGAGAAGCATTGGGAATGGGAACCCAGATTGCTGTGGGTTCGTGCACAAAGAGAAGAAGAGAGGCAGGGAAAATCCAGCATGCCGAGAGAGGGCAGTTAACGAGGGAGCAGTTAAGGTTATCCCCCGGGTTGTTCAAGAAATTAGCAAGGAGCAGAGCAAACAGTGGTCACACACAAACAGGTGAGGAGATCGAATGGGAGATGTTAACAGAGACTTCATTAGGTGTCCAAGTTGGGTCTGCGACACCCGAGGAACCATCTCTGAGTTATCGCCCATGTTTGTACCATTAAAGATGGCTCCACCTAATACAAAGAAGAGAGGACGCAAATCCAGGCAAGCTGCCGGCCCACAGAGCTCCCAGGCCCCACTGACAGTATCTTTATGCCTGGGGTCAGGGTAGACATAGGAGTAAGGTTTTGTAGAGACAAGGTTTCTCCAGGTTGCCAGGGAGGAAGCCTTTGGGTGTCCATCATAATCCCCCATAGTAAAGAGGAGCATACTTCCAGGAGTGAGCAGGAGGCAGTGTTCCCATGGAAAAGGAAAGTGCAATGTGGTGGGAAGTTTATGGGTGGGAG